TGAAAAGTCCTAAATGTATCTGTAGCTCCTGTAAGTCAGTATAAAAAAAGAAAATGGGCAGAGGCCAAAAAAAATCCACAGAAAGAAAATGAAAAAATATAAGGGGCTAATAAGTATTTGAAAGAAATATTCAGTCTTATTTATCATAAAAGAAATGCAAAATAAAACCTTAATATATTTTACCAATTAAATAAGCAAAGATTAAGAAGTTTGATAATACATTATATCTAGGAAGGTGTGATTAAACCATCATTCTTATACCTTATGGAAGTATAAATTGATACAACATATATACATATAGGGCAATAGCAATATAGCATTTCCACTTTGGAAATTAATTCTGTGTATGTACTCATATATGGGGAATGTCATGTATACAAGGATACCCATTGTAGCATTGTTTGTAATAGCAAAAGGATAGAAATAATTCAAATGTCCATCAATAGAGAATTAGGAGATTAGATAAATGTATTATGGTGTATCCATAGAAGAACTTTACAGCTATTAGATTGGGGCAAATATGTATGCAGTGGTATGGAGCTATCTTTAATACACCATAATGGTAAAAAGCAGAGTATAGAATAGGATGTAGAGTATATTCCACCCCCCTACTTGAAAGACAAAAAATAAGTGTTTGTGCATAGAAAAAATCTCAAAAATTATACCCAATAGATTGGTAATACTGGTTGCCATGCAGAGGGAAACAAGGAGATGGGATGGAAGGGTGACTTACTTTCACTCTATACCCATATGTAACTTTTAGGTACTGTACCTATTGTATTGCCTGGTCAAAATTTACTAATACTAAAATCAAATGAATCATGGTCCATATTGAAAAAAATTAATCTTAATTTTTATCTAGAATGTACAGGTGGCTGTTTAGTGGATGGCAGATCGAAATGTGAAAAGTAAAACTAAAGTCCTCGGAAGAAATAGATCTTCCATTACTTTGGAATAAGCACGATTTTTTTAAATAAGATGCAAAAAACATGTACCATAAAAGAAAAAATTGATAACTGAGCTATATTAGGATTCGAAACTCTTACTCATTAAAAACACCATTAGGAAAGTGAAAAGGCAAGCCACAGATTGGGAAGAAGATATTTGCATTATGTGTATCTGATAAAGACTCAAAATTTGTTAAAACCTCTTGCAAACAGTAAGAAAAGGGCAGACAAAAGGGCAACAGAAAAATGACTTGAACAGGCATTCCACAAAGAGAATATTCAGATGGCCAATAAACCTATAAAGAGGTGTTCGACTTTATTAGTCATCAGGGAAATGAAAATTAAGACTACAGTGCAGTACCACCCACACCCAGCAGAATGGCTTAAATAAAGAAAGACTACTTAGTTGTTGCCGAAGATACGGAGCAACCTGAACTCTCACATACTCAAGTTTGTGAAAGTAAATTGGTACAACCACTCTGGAAAATTGTTTGTCAGTATCTATTAAAGCTGAACCTATGATTTCCTTTGGCCCAGTAATTCCACTTCTAAGTAAACACCTGACATGATCATTTCATACAATGTTCATAAAAATTTCATTGGAAATAGCCCCAAACTGAAAACTACCCAAATGCCTGATAGAGTGGAAACAAAAATTGTGATATAGTCACACAATGGAATGTGTGTAATGTACCCACAGCAATGAGGGTAAATTATCTACAACTACAAAACAATATGGATGAAACTCACAATGCTGAACAAAAGAAGCCAGATACAAAAGAGTTCATCCTCTTAAGATTCCATTCATATTAGTTACAATAATAGACCAGACAGTTGTATTCTGTTTCATCAGAATAGCTGTTATTTTTGATGAGAGGGAGTAACTGGAAGAAGGGGACATGAGAAAGACCTCTGGGATGCTGGTGGTGTTCTTTTTCTTGATCCGGATACTGGATTCAATTTGTGAAAATTAATTGCATGCACTTAATGACTAGTATACTTTATTGTATGTATGTTATACCTAATAAAAAGTTTTTAAAAAGAATTGGATCAGAAGTTTTTCTAAAACTAGAGATAAAAGTAACAGTTTTATATTTTATTATCAATCTTTTCTGGTCTTTTTTGATTGTATAATTAGCTGAAAAACTATTACTTGACTTTAAGGCCATTTACTTCCCCCTATTTGTGCAAAATGAATAAGGGTTTCTCTACTCTTCCCCCTCCTTTTGTGGTGCATTTCAGGCTATTAAGAAAGGAGTTTTTAGTTTCTTTTTTTTTTTTCCCTGTAGATGTGTAATGGCTCTCAACTAAAGATTGAGGCCAAGTAGAAAGAGGAGGAAGGCTTACTTTAACTCTTTTACTCACATACCCCTCAAAAGAACTTTGAAAAAACTATCCATTTAAATGGACACCCAAAGGTTTTCAACAGTTTATTTTTATAAAAAAGAGGGAGAAAATGTTGAATATTTTATGAAATGAAGATGAGGATTGACTGTAACTACAAATAATGTTTCATGTGTATGAAATAGTTACTGAGCATCTTATGAACAAAAGCATGCTGAATCTGAAAGAACTGAATAGAGTTTTAAGCTTCTATCTTGAACATCCTGGTAGTCCTGCAGAATAGTCCATTTCCAGTGAAAAGAATCAACCTTGCTAACCTATAACCCCTTCAGAAGTCCTAAATTCACCCCAGTTCAGGCCCAAATACCCTCTTTCCGATGGCAAATTTCACCTATATAAGAATATGTATAAGAACAAAGGACAAGACATGCTATGGGTTTAATCATCAATGTATAAGTTTTGTTTGCCTCCTCAAAGTCTTTTGCACCCCCAGAATATGTACCATATGAGATTGGGGATGGCAACATTTGCAAACTCAGTCTTCATCTCAGACAAGTAAGTTTTATAAAACATTCTGTGTGAAACTTGAGAAACTAGAAATTTTTTCCCTAAAGTTGTCCATGACTGTTTATTTCTTAGAAAGTCTCTGAGGTTTGAAGACCACTGTGATGGATATTTAAACAATTAGCCAGAATGAACAGCTGTGCTGGCCCCTTTGGCTTTACATGTAAACAGCCAGGGAAGCCAGCCAGCATGGTAAAAGGTTACATGCAAAGTGTGCCTTCCATCTTTTTGAGGGAAAGATACACATCTTTATTGGTGATATATAAACAGTTTTAACTGCAAGAAAATAGCATAATCAAAAGTCAAGTCTAACGAAGTATAAAATACACTTTTGTATATTGAATTTTAGAAATATGATCCTTCAAAAACATGCCTATAAAAATATCTAATTAGGTAGTCTAGTGAATTTTAGTTCATTTTGTTTTATAAAGTTATGAGGATTTTGGTAATTACACATTAGAATGTCATTTTAAAATAACATACTTATTCATAAATGTGTATAGTAATACAAAAAGTGTATTTTCTGAATAAAATTCAGTTTATTAGAATTCTTATTATTGTATGTGGTTATTTACAAAGACTTCCAATGAGCAACCTTACAAACTAAAATTTTCCTAAATAAGATAAACAGGATAAACAAAATATTTTACCTTTATACTGTAAAATCAGAAATTACATTTTTATGTTGTTTTAAACTAAGCTTGATGCTTGCCTCTCAACAATCAATAGGATAGCCAAGTTTTCTATTGTGTGGTTTCATTTTTAGAATTTCTCTTTTTGAGTTACACCCATGTCTGACATAGTGATTTTTGACAAAACATTTTTATTGTTACTATTGAGTCCAAATTTAAATTACATACTACTGAAAGGAAACCATTTAGATGATATCACTGAACTTAATAAAAAAAAAATTGAGTAAAAAATAGAATAGGGTTTCCATCATAACACATAAACACTAGAACTTTGTTTCTCAGGGGAGTTTCTCTCAAACCTCCTCCTGGGCATGGATTCCTGCCAGCTGGGAATCTGCTATTGATCAAGCATCCTGAGCAATCCTGAAGCACACTCAAGTGTGAGAACTGGTACTCTAGAGCAACATCACTTAACCGTGGATGATCCATAATGAGAAGAAGCAATTCTAGTTCCTGGTGGAAGAGTATAAATCATAAATAAAATGATTTGTCCAAGAGATACATCCCTTTCCTTACATCTGGATTGTAGTAACCTAATTCAAAATTCGTTGTCCTGTTACACTTCAGAAGTTTTATCCTCGTTACTTTTTTATTTATTTAAAAAAATTTTTTTTGATGTTTATTTTTGAGAGGAAGAGAACGAACACGAGCAGGGGAGGGGCAGAGAGAGAGAGGGAGACACCGAATCTGAAGCAGGCTCCAGGCTCTGAGTCATTAGCACAGAGCCCCGATGCAGGACTCAAACCCATGAGCCGTGAGATCATGACCTGAGCCAAAGTCAGACACTTAACCAACTGAATCACTCAGGCGCCTCTATCCTCATTACTTTACAAAATACCGAATATGTTACCACTTCTTACAAATAGCCCTGCAATTACACACAGAATATTTATAAATTGTGTTAACCTAAATTGCCATAAAGTGTTGAATTAACTACTGCAAATCATCTGTTTGGTAACTTTTAAATATAGATCTCTAGTGATGTGCTAAATAACAAATTTGAATATTTAGTTAATTCAATAAAATGGAACCAGTACAACCTCTGGTTTCACAAATGAAGTGATTCAAAATGAGTGTGTCAGCTTTAATGGGGCCCTTGCACACTGCAGTAGGATGAATAGCACATTTTTTCCCTTGCATTCTTCCTAAAACAAAGGCTGTTTCTAAACTCACTCCTCCCACAAACTTTCATGCACAAAGCTTATGTGCCAGTGACACAAGAAGCTCATTTTGATTGTAATGGGCCATACCCTTGTCTAGTACATCATTTGTGAAACTGAAGTTGGCTATTATAATGCAGCAGGTATGTAAATAACATTTGTAAGTGATCTCTATAAAATGGATTCCTTCTTTCCCTTTTCATTATAAGAGGAAACTTTATTTCAGAGTAGAAAGTGCATTGTCTGAACTCATCAACACCCTCTCTATCCCTCCCCTCCCCAATTTGTTGCAGACCAGGATGAAAGAGCAGCTGAGCTCAGCAGGGAGCAGAATGAGAAAACCATCCGGAGCACGCAGACTGCGCTCCGCAATTTCCGCGAGTTCCTCATCTCCAAGTATCCTTCTGAAACAAGAGAGATTTATGTCATCCCTTGCAAGGAGTTGGATGCCTACCTGGCCTCTTTCTTTGTGGATGCCAGGCAGAAGGATGGGTCTGAGTATGAACCCAACAGCTTGGCCAATTACCAGTGTGGACTTGAACGGTACCTAAAAGAACACAGGTATGGCTATAGTATTACGAGGGATAAGGAATTCAAGCGTTCCCAAGAGGCCCTGAAACAGAAGCAGATTGAACTCCGCTGCAAAGGAAAAGGAAATAAGCCACACAAGTCCATGAAGCTCACCTTTGCTGATGAGCTCATTCTGCGGAAAAGAGGACTGCTGAGCCGTTATAATCCTGAGGGTCTTCTCAACCTTGTGTGGCTCAACAACACAAAAGCTTTTGGGCACTGCACAGGATTCCATGGATCTACCTTGAAGTGGGGTGATATCCGGCTGCGGGTAACAGAAACAGGGCTGGAGTACTTAGAGTGGATGGGTCAAGACACTGGTGATCTGAATGCCAAAACCAAGAGAGGGGGGACGGACTCTCGTGTGTATGCCACCCAGCATGCCCCACAGACCTGCCCCGTACAGGACTATAAGGAGTATGCCCAGCGGCGACCTCCTGCCATGCGCTACGAGGATGCTCCTTTCTACCTGTCCATCAAGCCAGTGGTGAACTTGGCAGCTCTGCATTGGTATAACTGCCAAGCCCTGGGCAAGAACAAGCTGGCCAAGATGGTGAAGACCATGTGTGAGAAGGGCAACATCCCCGGCAGGAAGACCAATTTCAGCGTGTATCAGAGCTGCAGCACCTTGTCTGAGGCCCAGAGCAACCAGCTGGTGCTTATCTGTAACAATCTGAGCCAGCAGGCCGCACAGTCAGTGGCCGGGCACTCCAACAGTGGCAATTTCATCGTCTCTGCCTCTTATGACTCTTCCTCAGACACTGCTTGACCAGGTGTCCTGAGCAAGACCCCAGCTTGGTTACTGTGTCCAGAGAAACTGTGGTTATACACTGCTTCTCGTTTCCTTTCCTCGGCCCTCAGTGTTAACTTTATAAAAATATAAATATATAATATATTTTTCTTTTTACAAATAAGCCAATGGAGATAGTTTAGTATTGCTAACATAGTATTTATAGGCTTAACACAAATGTACTTGTGGGTGATTAAATGTAATTACTGTTATAGCCGTTACAAAACCATAGTGGTTCTCAGGCAATACAAAGTAGAGAAGGAATTCCGTTTTTTAAAAAACTGTCAGAAAAGTAACTGAAAGTCGTCCTAGACACGTGTGTCCTCAACGCCTGCTTTTCCTTCCCACCCCACCTCTCATTTTGAGTCTAGTTAATAAATGGCTTTATTTTTTTAAGTTTTAAAATTTTATATTAATCAGAAGGAAACAATACTAGCTCTGCTGCTTACACAGAATTATATTCAGTCAGATCCAGAATATGAGAGTGTTGACATAAGCTCTACAAATTATTTACATATTTTTTTTAGCTGAATTAGAATTTTAGCTCCTGTGCCTCTTTTTTGTAATGTCTGAAAATCTAGATGTTTAGGTAACATCTTTTCTTTTGAGGGCAATAAAGGTGCCATTCTTTTTGAAAGATATATAATTTTTAAATAATATGCAAAGTCCAATATTGTGGCAAAAAAGACTGTTAACAGCTCTTTACTGTTGTGCTTGAACCTGGATAGATTTTTTTTGTTCCCTAAGAAATCAGTTTAAATGAAGTGTGATTTTCAGATTTACAAAACTACCAAAGCTTTCAAAATGTTCCCAAGCATTAGACTGTATATCAAACAAAGAGAAGGTAGAGAATGGGAGAGTCTTATTAAAAATCTGGAAGCGCTAGTCAGGACAACAAAAGAGGACTACTCTTCAAAGCCCAAACCCCCTGAATTATTTATTTATAAGCATTAAACTTCAGTCTCTTTTCCCTAGGAGATTACTTAACTCTGTAGTTGAGATCAAAAGAATATTGACACTCATTTTGGGTAATAACATTTTGTTAAAGGATTTAGCTGAATTCAAAGCATTCTTGAAAATGTGCAGTTTCTAGTAAATATAAATTTATCTGTGATACCCTGCAATTATAATAATAATAATTTTGGTTAAACAACTCTTTGTGGTGGTTTTCCCAAGGTCTTTATTTTCAAGTCTTAAAGCCTGTGGTGTATTTTTAGTTAAGATCCTTCAATAACAATATAAATTTAGACATTAGGGTGACAATGAAGTTGAGCTTGGTTCCTGTCCTGTATAATCATTAACACATAGAAAATCTGAATCTTAATTGCTTTGTTGGATTCTGTTGGGAAGTATTTGTTCTTTAAGGCAACCTCTTAATTCACATTAGCTAGAAGGGTAGGTGGTATTTTATGTGTTAACTTATTGTCCAACGAGTTCAGGTTTCATTTTTATATGCCTTCCTAAATCATCACAAAAGCTGAGGTTTCCCATGGCTTGGTAGCTTTTTTCAACACCAAGTCATAAACACATAAAGACTCATTCCTCTATATGGTGACCTTTCCTTTGGTTCACGAGTAGAAAGTCTTCTGTGGACTTTTTGTGGTGGAATCAACTTCATTTCGTGACTTTTCCTCCATAGAGAGGCATCCAGAAGTAAGAAAGGGTGGAAGATATCTTGCTTTATTTTTTTTTTTTTGTATTAATGATGGCAGCCACCATTTTTTAACTAGTGTGTATGGCAGCTCTGTGTCAAGTGACTTACATGCATCATTTATATAATAGTTACTAACTGTGTGAAAATTAGAAAATTTAGGTAAGCATAAAGAGCACAAACACTCATAAATCTGCTGGCCCAAATAACCACTGTTAATATTTTAGTAAATATTTCTTTAGACATTTCAATACATACATATTTATTTCTGTACACATCTTTCATCCTTTCAATCCTTGAAAAGCTTAGTTATCTTCATTTTATGTTGAGATCAAGACAAATCAGTTATTGTTAAGGAAATGGTACTGTCTTCTGACTTGAGTTTTTTCTGTTTATCTTCCTTAGTTCCAACTCAGAGTCAGTTTCCAGTGATTTGAGCCAGAAATGGGGACACAGTGTTTTCCCATCTCTCAAGGCTATCTGATTAGAAGGAATGCTGAGTGACCTTTCATGATGGCACACTGTGTCCCCTGGTGCCCCCTCTTCTGTTCATTTTGAGCCACAGGGCCTCTTTCTCCCAGTTCCCTTTACAAAACTTTCCTTATTCTATAACCTTGTTTGTAAGTGCACAGGACAGCCTACTATAAAAGAACTCTTAAAAATGTTTTTTTTAATGTTTATTTTTGAGAGAGAGAGAGTATGAGCGGGGGAGGGGCAGATTGAGAGGGAGACAAAGAATCTGAAACAGGCTCCAGGCTCTAAGCTGTCAGCACAGACCCTGACCTGGGGCTTGAACTCAAGAACTGCAAGATCATGACCTGAGCCAAAGTCAGAAGCTTAACCAACTAAGCCACCTAGGTGCCAATAAGGCTGTTCTTAATGGGTTACCTCTCGTTTAAAAAAAAAAAAAAAAAGTTTTTGTGAAACACTTAAAATGTGTGCATTTTATTTTTGCATTGACATACTTTTAAAAATTCTTAATATGTTTTTGACAGCAAAGTAAGTTTGTCATGAGGAAGAAGGGCAGCGAGGATGTACTGAGAAAGCAGAATTAGGGAATTTTGCATTCCTATTTGTGTTGATTAAGGCACTACAATGAAAATCTCTCCTATTTCATTCTATTGCATTTTCATTCAGAAGAACACAAATTGAGAATGTAAATTACTTTTTTATTTATTTTTATTTTGCTTTGATAACTCAAACCAAATAGGAACATTGTGACATTTAGATTTAGAAAGCTTTTCTGAAGAATGGCTTGGTAGAAGTTTAGCTGAATTATAGTACCTCTTTGCATTAATGAAATTATGAAAAATTATCTGCAACTACCTCTAAATTTTGTGTTTTTATATAAACAATACTGAAGACATGCTATTGCCAGATGCCATTTTCATTATTTGTTACTTTAACTTAAAAGAAGTTATGTTCATACTGTGGCACTGGTACATGCCAAAATATCATTCATGTGCTTTCGTGAAAATTCAGCAGTCCAGCAGGTGTTCACTACAACTGAATGTGCTGCCTTTCCAGTCAATCCTGTGATTCATACAAAAACCATAAAACCATATTTGCAAGGTTTACATTTTTAAGTCAGTGTAATGTCACGTAAGGAATTCTCCAGTGCTCCTCACATGACTCTGAAAGTTTTGCACTGTCTACAACAAAAGTGTCAAGCCCATCTGTCAGCATTTGAGGGGAGATAGCTGCAAAATTCAGTCTTTCTTCTATATTCATGTGAGTGACTGTTGAAAACCTTGGATGGTAGCAATTGTTTTTAAAACCATAATATCTGAAAAGGTTAGACAAATTCAGGATGTTAATCCAACAGAGCTTATTCTTAAAATTCCATTTATTCTCCTAGTTAGTAGGGGTGGTCTGAATATGGTTTGTAATACGCCAGCTACTTAAAATATTTTTCTAGATCTTTTCCCTGTGTTAAATTTTCCCTATGTCAATTCACTTTCCCCTGTGTTAAATCACTTCCCAGAGCAGTAAACAATAGTCTGAAAATTTTCTAGAGTAGATCAGGTCTCTTTGGTTTTTCATTTAGATCATTGTTAGCTGAAACTTTCATCACATTAATTGGTCTCAGTCATATGGCTTAGCTTTTAAGATGTCATGACATCAAATAACTTTCACTGAGAGAGAATTTACAGCCATATCAACAGATATTTGAACACCTATTGTCCAGACACTGGGAGGGGTACAAAGATGTGTAAAATAGTCCCTACCCTCAAAGAATTTATAAAAGATACTGTAATAAAAGTTTCATTTCATTTTTGAGAGCTCACCAAAAAAGTCTCTGCCGATAACTCTTTTTGCATCATTTCCCGAATTTGTACTCATACAGTTTGTCTATTATTCAGCCA